ATCTATCTATCTATCTATCTATCTATCTATCTATCTATCTATCTATCTATCTATCTTTATGTCTATGTGAAGGTGTCAGATGCCCTGGAGTTACAGACAGCTGTGAGCTGTCATATGGGTGCTGGGACTTGAACCCGGGTCCTTTGGAAGAGAAGTCGGTGCTCTTAACCACTGAACTGTCTCTCCAATCCCACATTCGGATTTTTATTAGTAGAGATAACAGATAATAGAATTGTTCCTTGGTCTGACAGGTTTAGTGTCATTTGCTTTCCAGTTGCCCAAACTCTAAGCATGCTTTACTCTAAAGCTGAAGGGCCTTTCACGCTGGGTGCTCCACACCTCAATGGGTACACACATATCTATTGCTTCTTGTGGAGCCCGGATCATACCATGCAGCCCACATAGGATGCTGCTTTATGTTTTGATGAGATCTGTTGCATTAGTGCTTATAATTCTATAGAAAACTCACGGCCAGAAGCAGGTTCTGTTTGGTGGCCCTTGGAATCTAGCTTTGCTTTCAGCACACAAAATTACCCAAAGGACTCAGGGGGACTGAAAATGGCCCACGGCATCTGTACTTATGCAGAAATTTACTCAAAACAATAAGATAAACATTTATTAAATGAAAAAGTCATATGAGGCAATGTGTATTGTTTGGTTCTATGATTTTTGATTTTCAAGAGTTCTTTTATTGGGCATTCAACAAATTCACGATAAAAGAACCCATTTACTGGAACCTCATTGAAATAAAGACAAACTTTGGCGATAATCACTGAGATTTTCAAATGGAAAGATTAAGATTAGAGACCATGTATGTGTGTGGAATAAAACTGTTCAAAGATGGGGTAAGATCTAGGTTGAAATTCAGAATTAGTTTAAAGAATGAAATGGTCTAAACTTGTTACCCAACAGAGTTTGCATAGAATAGCTCTTAATAGCTTTTTTTTTTCAATTGACATTGAAATCCCAGGCTTTCCCCTTCTCCTTCCTTTGTGTTCTATAAATCATTATTTGAAGGGGCCTTTGGCTTTTCTGAGCCATGCTACCAACTGCGTTAAATTTGCACAAAAGGACTTTCCCAGAGTGATGCTTCTTCCTTCTACCTCATACATATGTCAGCGCCCACTGTGATGAAGGCACTGAGCTTAGGAAACAGAGATAACAAACCATCCCAGGTTCTGAGGAAGGCACCATGAGAAAGACAGAGGAAGCGAACCCATTGCCATATAGAGATGTGCGTGAAGACAGACATCCATGAATAAGGGTGAAATGAGAAGTGACTGCTTTGGGACTCAGCGGAGGTCAAAGAGGGCTCATTGGGTCACAAAGGGCAATTTAGTTTCTCAAGTACAGGACATAACATTTAAAAGTCCAGTAGCTACATGGTCTGTTCTTCGAAACAGCAGTGAGACAGAGTCCTGTTGAATATCTGATGAGACCATGTGGGGCAAAGACCTCTGAAATTTTTACCTCATTTGACAATGGTCAAGCTTTTTCTTTATTTTCAATGTTGCCAGCATGGCTCAACAACAGAAAATGAACTAAGTGTTATTAAACACAAACCAAACTCCACTTGATTCGCTGTCCAAAGAGAACGCCATGATTGCGGCACAACCGAGAGACAACAATACTCAGAAAGCCCTCTACGGTACTGGTCTGACCCGGACCACTTTGACTGAGAATAGAGAGCTATCTGCTGCTTTTGCTGGCCTCGAGATCTCTCTGAAGCTAGAGAGGTCCTAGGCTCACCTGTGACCTAGCGGATTTTAACTCTCAACACATTCCCACCACCTACCTAGCGGAGGTCACGTGAGCTCTGTGTGGCACCTAAATACAGGTGAGGTAGAAGAGAGTGATGTCTAGTCCCTAAGGTAGAAAACAGACACCGCGTTCACCAAGTGTTTTCATGGTGGTTGTCGTCATGTGGGTCTACCTGTGACTCTGAAAGCTGAAGAGAGTGTGGGTTACATACCAGGACGGTTGACATGGAGTATTCATTCCTGTGGTCCAAGTGACAGAGTCCATCATTGGGAATGACAATGCCGGCTAGCTTACTGTCCATTCCAAAATGAGAATCAGCATCACTCACAAAAACCAGGAGGTGGAGCGAGTCGTTGCGCCAACCAATCTTTTCCTAGAGCGAGAAGGGCACCATAAGGTGTATGGAGAGGGGCAGCCCGAATTGAGGGTCGTGCAGCGTCTCACAGTGCGTGGATAGCCCATCCTAACCTTTCTATCTAGAGTGAATTTGAGGCTTAGTAAAGGGATGAAATCCCATAGCATTTGCTTTTTTTCTAGACAACTTTCTGGTTTATTTGCACCACAAGAAATAGGTCCACTACAAGTGATGCTGAGTTCATCTCGGCTTCTTGTTATTGATCTTTGTTGCTCAGCTCTTGATTCGCCAAACAAAGAGAATGAGAGGAGGTAGTGGGGAAGGTCACCATCATTCTAAATTCAAGCTAAATGCAATGAAAACTGACTATAAAGAAAGCCTGTTTCATTAAAACGTCACCCAACATTTAGGTATGTATTTCTAACGATGTCACCTGAAAATTATACATCTAACACAAGCGTAAGAACTGCTGATTGAAGATAGCCCCAGGGTCCTACTAGCGGAGATTGTCTGCAATCTGTGTCTTAGCAGTGATCTCTCAGAACCAATATTAGTCTAGGAAGCCTTTGGGCAAAAACTCTTCCTGGCTCTCCTAACCTGCCTTATCCTTTCCTTCCTCCTTTAACTCCTGACCCTTCTGCCTTCTAGAAGCTTCCGCCCTGGACATTTCCTGGTATTGCCCACCACGGACTATAAAGACAAGGTGATTGTTCTCGAAGAGTCAAGGAGAATTTGGGTCCTGACAGGGCTGCAGAGATAACATGACTTCTGATCCTGACTTTATTAGTTCAAAACAACAGATTTTTTTCTTGAACTATGTACTGCAACTCTGCCTCTCAAAACCAAGGGTTGGGTAGCTCATTAGTAGCGTTAGTATAGTACTTGCCTAGCATGAACAAGGCCCACATCATAAGAAAGGTAAAATACGATAGTTGTGTCATTATGTGTGCTGAGTCAGACATTTTAAAACTGTTAATATTCTTCCCTTAATTTTTTTACTACTATAGTTGACTAAAAAATAACTAATCTGTTCTTTGAACCAAAATTTTCTTTGACTATTTGATTATCATTATTATTATTATTTGATTATTCAAATATCACACACATGAAACATTCTCCCTCTTCAACATGACTAAATTAAATACTGAATGGAAGTTTCACATTTTAAAAACAGGATCAAATGAAGAAGTATGGTGATCAAAGGAAAGACAGTTAACTAAGCTTCCCAAAGCAGATTTGTTAACAAGAGATGAAATTTACGTTAAGAAGACGGAGCACTGACCCCATCCCTGCACCCCACATCCTACCTTACACACAGCAGCCTGCATAATTGCGTCAAATCCTCCTTCGGGCGTGTCAATATTAGCAGAAATCTTCTGTTTTCTCACAATTTCATTGAATCGCTCAGCATCATCAGTCAACGGTAAAATGTGCTTGAATCCAAATGTAGGTAAACAGAAGTAGGGAATACTACTGCAGAGGGAATATGGAAAAATACTCTTCAGTGTGGGTCAGGGCAGTTAGTAGACCTGATATCCTGGAAACATTTCCTTAAAGGATGATTGCTTTTCTAAAGGGCCTCACTCGGTAACTTGACAGAGAATCTTCCAGTTGAAGTTGCTATCTTTCCCACATAGACTCTATCGGCTAACACCGATTTGAAGCCTTCTGTGTATCGTAGGCAGGCTCCAGCAGGGGACTGCTGATGATCCTGTCATCAGATCCTTGTTCCGGGATGTGTAATTACTTCCTTCTACTGACTACAAACCAAAATCTACCTGATAAGTTAAGTTTACCTGATGACAACCACTTCGTGTTGCTTTGTGGTCAGATATCTTAATTTGTTACCAAGCATGAGTCAACCCTGAGCAACAGAGAGAGGAAGCTGTCTCCTTTCTCCTTCTCTGCTCTCAATCCTGTCTGCCATGAACCCAGAGCCCACAGCAAAGCTCTTGGGTTTTGTCTTAGATTTTCCATTGCTGTGATAAAACACAATGATCAAAAGCAACTTGGGAAGGAAAGGGTTTGTTCCATCTTACAGCCTGTAGTCTATCAACCAGGGAAGTCAAGGCAGGAACTCAAGGCAGGAGCCCTAGGCAGGATCTGATGCAAAGGCAGTAGAGGAGCACCACTTACTAGTTTGATCCTTGGGATTTGTTCGGACTGCTTTCTGAAAGCACCCAGGACCACCAGCCCAGGGGTGGCACCTCATACCGTGAGTGGGGCCCTCCAATGTCAGTCATCAAGCAAGAAAATGCACCCCAGGGCTTGCTCACATGCCAATCAGAGGGAGGCTTTTTCTCACTTGGAGATTTCTCTTCTGAAGTGACTCTAGTTTGTGTCAAGTTGACATAAACCTAGGAAACAATATTTCTGATACATTGTGACCCACCATCCTGGAAACAAACCTGTGGTTGAAACATCATGATAGTGTGAAGCCTGCATCAAAGTCAATGGGAAGAGCTGACTGGGGATTCAGTTATACTCATGTTCAGAAGCCAGTTACAAGCTATGCACAAAACTCTGGGAAAGTTACTCGAGCCTTCTTAGCTTTGGGCTTTACCTTTTAAAAGATGGAGCCAATCATTAGACCTAAGTTAGGTCTTGGGACCATGAGAGCTACAGGATCACCTGTGGAAATGAACCGTCTAGTCTACTACTTCAGATCTTCGGTTGAAATGCTAGTGGTAAGTTTATCAATCTGCTGTATCAAGTCTTCCATATGCAAGTTAAGGTCTACCAACCATTTGTGCAGAAGGAAAGAGATAGCAAGAAGGAGCCCCAGTGAGAATGGGCTACACTGTCTTAGACAATGGGGTGAACACTATAGAGCACGCTCCGTTCCCTGGCCTTGGTCCTGCAGGTCTAACAGTTGATCTGTCAGCACACCAGGGACAGGTGTGACTACTAGAGTCAGGCTTCCCTTAGCCACACATACTACCTGAGGTAGACCTTGATCTTCATTATTTTTAGATTTGGTGTTTTTTTTTTTTTTTTTTTACTTCACCATGGACTTGATTAAGTGGATCCAAATCACTGAGTCAGTGTGTGTGTATGTGTGTGTGTGTGTGAGAGAGAGAGAAACAGAGAGAGAGAGACAGAGACAGAGAGAGACAGAGAGAGACAGAGAGACTTTGCTAGGGATAGGGTCTTACTAAGTACCCCAGGTTGGCTGGGTTTGAACTCCCCACATGAGCCCATGCATATGTTACACACACACACACATATGTGATCCTCCTGCGTCAGCCTCTTAGGTGACTGAATAACCCAGCATTTGGATCATTTTCTTATCCACAGATGTGAACAGGGAGAGCAAAGTCAATTTCCTTATGCAAATTCCCAGTTGAGGCCAAGCAAGGCCAAGCTCTGCTTTTTTAGTCCCAGCACTCACAATACACACAAACAAGTGACCTTTTAGTAGTCTATTGAGTGCCACCTGGTTTTATTTTTCATTTCTTTTGTGCTTTTCATTGATGACTTCACTAACACTGAAATGCTGTCTAGTGTTCCTAAGTGCAACAAGGCTGAGGTGGATTTGTATAGAAACAAACTTTCTTCAGACGTTAATTACAGTTCAATGATAATAAATCAACAATATCGATTAAATTGGATGCCCTTAAACTAAGATACATATAAAATAAAGTGCTAATTAGACAGTTAGCTAAAGCAAGGGCTCACAAGAATCCACTTCCCTTTGGAATAATCTTTAATACATTGTAGGCCAAACAGTGCCATACATGATGAGAACCGGCAAGGTTACAGAACTGACTGGGGATCTCACAGGGACAAAAATGTTGATGTCCATGAAGATGGTCATCCTTTTGTTAGTAGACATGCATAGGAAACAGTTCAGTCTCAGTGTTCCTAAGCGTAAGAACAGGACAGTTTGAGAAGCCTACCGGTGACTGACACAGTTTGGACATCTTGAGACATCCACGCCCAGAAAAGACGTTTCTGGTCCCTCCTACCCTTTGTTCCACTTCCTCAAGCAAAAGGAGTGTTTAGAATCTTTCGGCCAGTGGGCTAGGAAGCATGAAGAGCATTCATTGGATATGGTCGACACTTGCCTCTGTGTCCCTGTGTTTTGATGAGTTAATCTAACTGTTCTTTCAATAAAAAATCAGGAGTCAGATATCAGGGTAAGAACTTGAATAACCAGAGAAGTGGTGGAGAAGCCACCAGTGACCTCTGACCTCTTCCCTTCCTCCATTCAAAGAGGCTGAGATCTTCTCTTAGTCCTGCCTTACTACTTCCTGCCTCCTTTCTATCCCCAGTCCTCCAAAACCTCTATGGTTAATTTTGGTCAGCTAGGGGCTGGCTCCATCACCCTCTGACTCAAAGCAAACGTTATTGTCAGAATAGCGATTAAAATATCACACAACAGTGTTCTCTGCTCTCCTGACGTTCAAGGTTTGTCTATTATTTCAGTCGCGTGGGGACACCTGGTCTAATTGGCCCAGGAGCAAATATAAATTTCCAGGCCACATTTTTTATGTCCTTTCTGATTCACAGTGTTTATTTTTAACTGTCAATTTGCAATTCTCTTCTCTTAGTATTGTGCGTCAGGTTTCTCTGAAATTAAAGTGATGACCGCGCATGGTAGAAGCTAAGCCGTTCAGGATGATGGACTGCGGAAAGGCAGTGCCGATTCCTACAGAGATCTCTTCACACAGACGAGCACACACCCGAGGACAGATAATGGGTTTGATCAGTAATAACGTTAGAATCATGCTCTCTTTTATAAAAGTAATTATAAACGTGAAGGTTCACCGAAGAAAACTTGTGTTTATACAAACATATCAGGAAGGAAATAAGAATGAATTTCAATGGCTGTGAGCTGTCTCTTTTGGCTTAATCACTATTTATTGTTGAAATTCATTTTAAAAAAATCTGGTGGCATCTTAATGCATTTCTTAATTGCATCAACAGGCTATATCGAGTAGCAGTGTCTTATCTTAGTAAGTGCAGCTATGGTATTTGAACTATGACATCACATTTCTCAGACTGTGCTTCCACCTCTAAAGTGACACGTGACCACCTCTCTGGTTTCTCTTACTAGGTGACTCACCTACACTGATGTCTGAATTAATGGCTTGCTTCTTTATAATTTGAAGTAATGTTCTGTTATATGGAAACATGGTTGTTTCCAAAGTTTGTCTATTAAAAATAAAGTTTGGGTACACCATGAATGCTGCCTACTGGATATGATATGGCCATTGAAATCATGAACACACAGCAGCTCTGGATGCCTGCACAAGACCTGCCCAAAGTAATACAACATGAAGGCAGATAGTTCAGAAGATGAAGGGGCCACAGGACTAAGGGGAGGGGTTAAAAAGAGTCCTGGGGGTAAATATTATCACAACACATTATGTACGTGTATAAAATTGTCAAAATAACAAAAATTAACAATTGAGTAAAGTAGCAATGGTCTTTCTGTAACTAAATAATAGAGCTCTCCATTTATGTTCCCATTAATAAGTTATGCCATCCCTTTGCTCAGAAAGAATTTCTTTGATGGGGGTTTACTGGGTTGCCCTTGACCCATTTTAACAAACTCCTTCCTATCAGTTTCTGATGTCAGTGTCTGAGGCCATACCATTTCACAACAGAAATGAAAAAAAGCAAGAGAATTGATTGGCTAGAAATGTCATCTGAGCATTACTTTTCATTTCCTCTAATGACCAGGACTCAGCAGGTATCTATCTTTATTGGCACTTTATTTTTAGCCTCTTTTCAATTGGCAGACCTCTATTCTCCTATTGGATGGATTATTTTTATTTTAATTTTTTGGGCTTTCTGAACAATACTAATCTTTTACCTTTGTCTTTAATTTTATATTTCAGATGTATACCTTAACACACACATATGTGTGTGAATATATATATTACTGAAATGGAAAAGTATTTAAAGTGCGGTGCAAGGAAGAAGTCAAATGTTTAAAATGATCCCCATTTTCGCTAGGTGTCCTCATTGCTCCCACAGTGTCTGGAGAAGCTGTGGGGCAGTAGACATGCATTCAGCTTAGAAGAGACATACTAAGTAGTTATCTACCCTTAGGCAGGTCACGCAGCACTCCTGGGCATCAGAGTCCTTGCCTAGTTCCCAAAGTTGTGAAGATTATATGACACAGGAAACGGGTAGCTCTATTGGGCTTAGCATTTTCCCTGAGACCTAACTACTCTTAGAAAGTCTGAATCCTTTATTTGGGGCTACTGGTTTGCACACTGGATCATCTTCTGAAACAAAAGGACTGGAAACTGACTTTAATATGAGAAATTTGCATCTTTGCTGCTCAGAATATCTCCTCCTATTGGAGACTCTGATAAGGAGATAATTTTGTGTGTGTGTGTGTGTGTGTGTGTGTGTGTGTGTGTGTGTGTGTGTTGTACACATGTAGAGACCAGAGGTAGACTTTTGGTGTCTTTGTCAATCATTTTCCATCTTATTTTTTACTTTATTTTTGTGTGTGA